AAAAGCTAAAAATCTGGGAAAAGGCCTACCTGTCCCTCGAAGGTAGGAAGCTAATCGCCCAAATGGTCATTGGCAGAATGACACAATTCCACACGGTAGCCCAAGGCATGCCAAAACACACTGAAGCTAAACTCAACAAACTGACCAGAACCTTCATATGGGGATCAGAAGCCCCCCCACCCATAGGTACAGACAGAATGATCAGCCCAATCGAAGAAGGCAGCAGAAATATCCTAAACATACCCCTCAGAAATGAAGCTATCAACATCATGAAACTGAAACGTATCCTAGAAAATGAAAATGCAAGACCACTAGCGAGCGTAGCAGCCAAGGCAATAATCACCTTAGCCACCCCAAAAAAAATCCTCCTGGAAGAGATACAAGACCCCAGTATAAACATCTTCATGCAATGGCTGTTCCAGAAATTGAGACACACCAGCAAGATCCTGCCCCAAGAACTAACCTGGATACTCAACACTGGATCGAAATACAACCTGAGATTAGACACGCCATACCTCCCCAATGAGTGAAAAATGAACCTACCGGCATGGCACCACCTGGGGGAAAAAAACAAACTCTGCACACCAAGAAAGAAGCCCACCAGCGAAATGTCTAAGGAGGAATCACAACTGCCTCAGAACCGGGGACCTAGTCATACAAGCCAGTATTGCAGAAAACACAACTCACCACCCAAGAATCAAAAACTGCCCCTGCTGAAACTGCATGACCTACTGATCCAAGGGATGCAAAAACCCCAACAACTGCTACAAAACCACCGAGAATGTCCTGGGAAACCTAACCACAAAGTTCAACCCGTATGACCTAGAAACCCCAAAAAGCCCCCCAAACAACGAAGACCGAGTAAGCATCAAAAAACACGCCATCAGCAATCCCTCCGAAATAAAGATATTCGACCAACCTAATGAAGATCACAATGACACGCTAGCCAATTTCAGGATCTTCAGCAACAAGAACGATCACAAAGAACAAAACATACCGGCCCCCCAACTCCCCTACAGTAGATCCCCCCAAGACACAATAGCATACACAGATGGCTCATGCATGAATAATGGCGAAACCACAGCAAAAGCTGGTTTCGGAGTCTGGTTCGGCCCAAATGATCAGCGCAACAAAGATGAAGCAGTAGATCCCAACCTCACCCAATCAAACAATATAGCGGAAATGCTCGCCATATACCATGCCATCAAAAACACCCCCAGCAATGCCCACCTCCACATTAAATCGGACTCAGACTGGTGCATCAAAACCTTAGGCCCCAACCTCCCAACCAACAAAGACTGTGACTATGTAAGAAAAAAGAACACCAACCTATAGTAGAAGTCGTAAACCTACTAAGAAACAGACAAGCTATCTGTCATATCCATCCCCAGCCATCGACTTCCGGTCCCTCTGATCCCTCTGGTCTACCTCTGCTCCTTCCTCACTAACCTCAGAGCTCCCGTATTCTGCAATCCTCTTGGTACCCCTCGATGGTCACCACCCCCTCCTTTCAATTTATTACCTACACCTCCCTAAGCACGGAGCCCTGAAGAGTTCCGGACAGCTCCAACATCCGCTAGCGCACTCCCACCTCCACTGGGCAATACACTCGCCTGCCCTGCAGAGCCCACCTTCGGGCCTATCCCTCCTTTCCGTTTCTGGGTTATCGCCTGCCTTTCCGCTAACCCCACGACCCGACTCGTCGGTAATATTCAGTCGGCTAATGTTTAACCCCGTTAGCTCCAGTCCGTTCGGCTCCACCATTTGCGGACCTGTCTTCGCTGTAACCATATATATATCCAACTTGTACATAGGTTACACTTCAGTAATAAAATCGACTAGAGTTATCCCCCTTCAGTTCTGATTGCCAGTTAGTAAGTTAGGGCACGGACGTGTCACTAGGCACAGCACTCTTGGCATAAGTCACTGAGGCCGAAGCCCTCTGCCACAGAGACTTTCCTTCATCTTGAACCTGGTCTCTGACACTATCACTACCTTCGAATGGATAAGAGGACACTCAGGTATCCTGGGTAACACGGAAGCGGACACATTCGCTGCGAAAGGAGCTGCCAAAACACCTGAAGTAAACAGCCCAATAACAACTAACCACCCCCTCCCACACTGCCCAAAAGGGGCCAGATTGAGAACCTTGACCCAAGCTACGGCCCTTAAACTAATCAAAAGAGTAAACATGCTTAAGAAAACCACCCAAACCAGCAACTCAGTAAAAACTTATCAGAGCAACACTCTGTGACCTAAACAATGGGGAACCCATGGATGACAGAACCTGGACAGCAACCCTAAAAAATAAAAGAGACATACCCACAAACATCCGCAACTTTCTGTGGAAAACAATCCACAACAGCCACAAAATCGGAGACTACTGGAAAAAAATCCAAAACTATGAACACAGAGGGACCTGCCAAAAATGCGAGAAAACGGAAAACCTAGACCACATACTATTTGACTGCCCTCACAACCAAAGCCAAACTATTTGGGACACCATTAAATCCCTCTGCACCTGGAAAAGAATAACCTGGCCAACAAACATGGACACCTCACGCATAATGGCGACCCTGCTTTGGAACCTCAAGGACGAAGAAGGGGTCGTTAGAACAGGGGAATCCAGAGCCCTAAAAACCCTCATACTTGAGCTGGAAAATACGCTGCCACAGAGTCATTAACAGCAATGATGATAACGAGATTAAAATTTCGAGAGCAGAAGCCCATAACACCATAAAATCAGCCCTCAATGACAGACTACAAAATGACAGAATACTAACTAACAGTAAAAATATGGCAAAAAGGCCCTCCCAGAAACAACAGTACTAGAGACATGGAAAAACCTATTGAACGCAGACACAGACCTCCCTGAGAACTGGCTAAAAACCAATGGGGTTTTAGTGGGTACTCCCAACCCTCCGGATCAGCACGAGCCCCACACTCAAGGGACGATCCCAGAATGTGTGTAAATGCATTTCCCCGCAGTGGAGTCTCAGGAGGCAGCAGCTAATATTAACAGACTGTCAGGGCAATAGCCCCAAACCCCGAGCCACATGTAATTAGATACATATAGTCATGTGGGTAAGCGGGAACCTCCAGGTAACTGCTTACACACTACCGTAAAATACACACATTTGTATCACTTATGGCTCTGTGTGCTGAGCTACCCCAGAGACCTCACACAGACCCACAAACCACAAACATAATCACACTCTGTAAATCAGCGGGAGGAAGACTAGAGCGCGGTGTCTAGAGTGCGATGTCAAACAGGGTTTAGTGTTAGGCAAGATGTAAACTATGTACAATCTATAAGGTTGAGGACTTACCTAGAGCGCGATGTCAAACGGGGTTGAGCATCGCACTCAGGTAATCCTCGCTCTTTTATGTCTATCTAACTATACAACAAAGCGGATAACAAAGGTGAAACTAGCGCCTCTGGCGCTTTGTGCGACTAAGGGTTTGCCACACGGCAACGCTTTGCCTGCAGCTCCACCTCCCCTTTGTCCTCGTGTGGCGTCAGGCTGCCACATCAACACACTCTTCGGGGGATAACCCCCCCCACACTCAAACCCCCAGGTAGCAAACCTACCCAGCAAAAGCTACAGGCGGTTCCACCCAAAAAAAAAAAATAACGCATTTCCCCGAGGTGGCAGTCTCAGTATCATACAGACATGTCGACCTGACCTTCCCAGAAGGACCAGCACCTGTAAATGAATTCTTTCTTTTTTCTTATTATCGCGGAATTACCCGCTACAGACTGTACGGATATCCGCTCCTTGATTCATTTCTTTTCTCTGCACTATTCAGCTTGAGACTGAGGTCAGTATCACATTCCTTTCCTTTTACTACTCATATCTAAATCTTTAGTTATTTCATGCTAGTATTTTCTCAGTTCCACCAAAAAGAAAAAAAGAAGTCTTGAGATATTATAATCCAGGATCATCCGGGATTTTCATCCGGCGATCCGGATTGGCCATTGGGAGGTGTCCCAATCCGGGATTTCTGATCCTAATCCGATCCTATCCGATCCACCCGGACCCCTGCTGTCATCTAGTCTGACCTCGGCCCCGTTGTGGCCTCATTCCTATGGTTTTCTGTAGGTCCAAAAAAAAAAATACGGAATTCATTCATTGTGGGCAGCGTGTAATAATGACACTCACTGAAAGACTCCATCCATCATTGGAAATGGTATGGGGAATTTTATCGAGACCCAAAGCTAAGATGGGGGAGTCAACACAACCCACAAAAAATGAATGTCTACAGATTGGTGGCCAGTGCCGGTCCTGCATGATCAGGTGACAATTCGATTGCGACACCGCAGCCATACGAGTAATCTTGGCGCATTCTCCAACGAAAATGGCCAATCATTCCAACCCTGTTACGAAGAACGACCCTGGGTTGGAATGCATGCCCCAAGAGTTTGGAGCTTTCGTCAATCTGGTTCATGATGCTCTCAAGGAGTTTCGACCTCCCAGCGGGTCAATCTTGCAAGTCCTCATGCAAAACCTCCAGGGATTCGATGCCTGGAGGAAGGGCACGAGGTCAGACATTCACCTGCGCCCATTCGCATCGCCCCCAACATTCAAACGGAAAATAGCCAGAGACATCTTCCCCTTGATTACCTCCTCTATTCTCGTAGTTCGCGCCCATTGGGCGATGGACCAGCACTCCCCGGGCGCGGCAACAGACCTCATGCCACTGGACATTTCTCCGCACTATCATGGGGACAGGCGGACAGTCCCGTACTGGTCGAACAAGATACCAGAACGCCTGGTTGTATTACGTGAGCGGCTACCTCAGTGTCTTGAGATCACTTCCCAGTCCTCTCCCCCTGGTAACACGGCTACCACCGCACGAGAGCTCATCGACCGCGCATCACGGTTAGAAACCACGTCCCAGCGGCTCCGCGTGATGAGTCACATCTACTATTGTGCCGCCGCTCTGAAGCAGATGAGCGAGTTAGGACCCGAGGAGTTTTTTGTGAGTGCGGTCGAGCTCGTCGCTTCTTCCCTCTACCTGACGATCAGGCTTTACATCATAGGAGCAGTGTCTGCACGCTTCCAATGAACGGTAAGCCATTTTATCCTACGTAGGCCACGCTGACGATCCGGCAGTTACTCCTTTGCCAGCCCCTTCATTATGACACTCCTAATATCGCCACTTGTCCTACTCTTCGATACCACTCTCACCAGCCCATCAATTCTCCCTTCTATCACCGCCATGGTGTCGCATGCTGTCTTGCACGGGGGCCTCAGGCAATCGAACGGCCCTCGGAAGGTGCTCGAGAATGCCCTGTTTAATCTCATATTTTCCGTTTCGCGGGCAGGCCAGATTTCGCAACACGACCTTGACAGATTCCTCGCCGCGTGGACCATGGTTCTGCCATGTATCCGCGTCATTGGCGCAGACCCCAGGGACGTCGGGACTGAATCCGCTCCACCCTTCTCAGAGCAAGTCTCGGGTCTGCATCCCTCCACAGCTCAATCCCCCGCAGCTGCCGAAACCTCAGGCTTTGCCCCAACCCCGACAGTTGCCCACTCCCCCATCACCACACCATCGACCATTTTCCCTCAGTCGGCCCCCAACGCTCCGGATGATAGGGATGAAGAGTTTACTCTTGGTCCAAAGGGGCCCCAACAAAACTCGCCCTTCACCCAGGTGCCCTCATCCGCTGGTCAGAAACGCGGTCGTGGAGGGCGATACGACAGTCAACTGGGGAAATGCCCGAGGAAACGGGTTACATCGGGAGCTGGACACATCCAAGAAGGAACGGTAGCCTCTATATCTATATATTCTTTAGACACCTGCAAGACGTGGCCCCACGTCACTAGTGTAGACAAAACGCTGGACGTCCCAGAGCTCAATCCAGATGCGAGGCCAAAGGTAGGTTCAGTATACGTTCGAAGCCAAACGACGCTGACAGCTTCTCCACAGCTCCTCCATTCCGTAGACTTGCCTGTCATCTTTGTCGATGAAGGGCGAACTTCCCGGATGGAGACCTTCTTCTTTCCGTATTGCGAACATTCTGTGAGTCACTTCTCACCCCTCCCACACTGACAACTAACCGCATTGCAGCCCTCCCTACAGAAGTTGAGGCACTTCTTGGAATCGCCCCAGCATGATTCCAAGTATTGGAAGCCCGTTTTGATGACAACACAGCAAGCGTTAGCGATGGACGTACAGCGGTTCCAGGGTATGGTCAACGACGGTACCCCGATCGTCTTGGTGGACCAACTAGGGCAGGTCCCGTTTCTCGCACATAGCTTCATTAATTTTCAGTCCAAGGTTCAGTGTATCGGCAAGTTTCGTCTCTCACTCTCCCACCCCCGCCCACCGACCTATTTTTAGATTCTGACCATATTCCATCGACCGATCACCCCCGGATCCTACAAATGACCGCGGGTGCTTTGAACGAGATATATGATTGGCAACGATCCAGGCCATTGATCCTTACCCAGCCCACCACTGGTTGCTGGCAGCCGTTAGAGAAGTAGGTTTGTTTGTTTTCTCAACCACGTGTCTCACATCATTACAGGCTCCTCAATACTCGTGAGGTGGCACTGGCACTGGCAGATTTTCCTCGAGACCGCATCCCTGACCAAAGCTGGCGATATCCGATTATTGCAGCCGCTGGCTCTATACACCCCCCTCACCAGGGTCCAAGCGGCGTTGGCACTTGCATTCACTGTGCTAGTGGTTATGCTGTTTTCTTTATTCCTATCCTAAATGAAGACCAATTTATCATGAGCTGTTCAATCGGCGCGGACGCGTCCCACAACCTGGATTTTTCATACCTCTACGAGGCACCCTATCGTTTTGGCTCTTTTGTTCTCTCACCTGGCCAAACGGTGTAAGTACTCAGGTTGTCTGCTAAGTTTCACTTGATGCCTCTATCCCCAGGGTCCTCCCTCCCGGCCAAGTCTATGCCTACGCAGCATTGCTTTCTCGAGACGCAACCAACGTATTTATCCCCGGATGTATCATGGAGTGCTGGGACTTTCTTGCCGCTGGATGCATGAAGCGATCGTGTTTCGCGAGCTGGTTGCGTCGCAACTCGGCTCACCGACCCAAGAGTGATGAATCTTGGAATTCTACCTTCAAAGTGTCCTTGATGGCCATGGTGTCGAATGCGGCGCGTGCCATATCGGCTCCGCACGGACAGCCTATCCACTCCCCAGACATTGCCAACCTTTTCTCATTGGCAACCATGGCCATGGAGTTCATTGGGGATCAGCCACGCTTTTCCGAAATGACCAAATCATTGGAGCGTTATTGTGCACAGCGAGGACCGGGCTCTTGTTCCCAATTCCTCAAAGAATTGTCACGCATCAAAAACTGCCATGAAGGCGACCCTGATTTCAGAAGCCCTTCAAATATTTATTCTTCACAGTGATCCCCACCAAGTTGTTGTCATTGTAATTGTCTTCCTTTGACCTCTGGTCCTGCATATTACCTTGCTTGCAAGGCCACCTTCGAGTCAGGAATTCGTGGGAATTTTCACTTTCCCCCCCTCCCATTCATTCTTCATCTACCCGTGCTAGCAGAAATGTATTACATGCAGTTGTCTATTAATTATGTTCATACCTCCTAAAACGTGCTGTTATGTACAGAAGCCCATCCCACAGTAGCTGCCGTCGATCTCAAGTTCCGAAGCAGTGTAGCCAGCATAGAGGCCAAGTTAGTCATAAGCCCCATTACTCGCGGACTAGACCTGGACCTGTGTATCCAGGATGAAGACTCCTGCAGAATGATCTATGATGTCTTCAGTCTTCAGTCATGTCTCAATGATGAGATTCCTTGCCAAATGGTTTTCACTTGTTTGCATACTTCGATGAAGAGAGCTCCTGCGAAGCCCACGATATTTCCAATGCGGACTTGTACTTTGATGAGACTGAGGCCACAGATCAGAGTTCAAGGCCCAGACAGGTGATCTAACAACACCCAAGGCTGAATTAACCCCCTGCAAAGCAGTCTATGACTTGGATTCCCACTCCAATGACAAAAACTCCATGAAGCGATGTCCGAGAGTTTCAACTTGCTCTGTCGATGCAGACAATCACCATGCATGCATGCTGTTGAACCTGGATGACACTCTCAAGCACTTCAATTGTTGAACTTATCACATCAACATTTACCATGCTGGACTCAAAGCTCAAAGAGCTAAGGCTGGCCTTAATCTTGTGTGGATGAACTGCAAAACAAAATTCATGGGGCACTAAGAGTTTTCAGGAATGCTTGGCCATTTGGAAGACACTGTGCAACCTAGGCCTCATGGAAAACATTGAGCATAGTCTTGCTGAGGAACATAAGCCCCTGGACTGTCATAGCCATACATACCCAATTCTGATTCAACTCCCGGACCCCCTTTCCACCACCTCTGGAGTCCTACCCTATTCCTACCCACTCCAATCCCCACCTTCCTCTCCTCCTGACTCTCTCCCATCCACCAAGGTACAACCTCCCACTCCCGTCCCATACCCCAAACCCAGACTGTCATATCCATGCATACCCGATCCCGACCCGACTCCCAGACCTCCTTCTTCACCACCTCCAGAGTCCCACCCTACCGCTGTCCATTCCGATATTGTCAGGGCACACCCGCCTGACCCTGCGCCGCACCCCGCACCGTACTGCCCTACTCCGCTTTCCCCGCTATCATCCCCCGTCCCTCCTTTCTCACTTTCCCCTTATCTCTCTATTTCTATTCTATGGTCGATTTCCCTTTTCTCCATGTACCACTATGTACCTAACCCTGCTCCCCTGATCGCTGCATGCGCCGCGCACACACTCCTGCCCACTGAGTGGCCACCTCCGGGATCTCCTGTGGAGACACCCAGGGAGGCACGGCTGTGTGCGGAGATGATGTGGCTTCTCCCACGTGACCCTGACTGCATGTATATAATAGCGCCTGGGGTGGGAACAGAAGAAGCAGCCTTCTTCTCAACTTCCCACTTCAGGTAAGTACCATAGCTTTCCCCTTTTAATGATAACTCAACTTCCCACTTCAGCCTAAGTGGTCGGGGATGCTCACCCCGTGACGGGACCGCCGCTACGCATAGCCGACACCTGTCCCATCAAGTCCCTCGCACCGGGACCTCGCCGCTTTCGGAGCTGTCCCTGACAGATATTCACCTTCGGTCCTGACACCACACCTCCTCTCACCCCTCATGCCACCTCCACTCCTCCGTCCTTCTCCTGTCCTATCAATAACTCACCTCGGGCCGACCACCACTCCTCTCGCCAGCCTCCTCCTACTCTTCCTCCCACTCCTCCTCTTCCTCCTCACAACACCTCCACCCTTCCGTCATTCTCCTACCCTTCACCCATCTGCTCTGATACTCACCTTCGGACCTGACACCTTTCCTCTCCTCCACTCCTCTCCCCTTTCCTCTCTCCTCTCTCTTCCCTCTGGCCCTCTTTCGCCGACCTTCTGCCAAGTTACAACCTTCCACCGCTGTCCTGTACCTCATACTCGGACACCGCTCGTACCTTTGCTCCGAGACTCCGTCATAGTTCCTACCTTGGACTTTGACTCCACCTCAGCTTTAGTCCATTGCATTGGTGACCTCATACTACGTAAACACCATTGCCAATATTCCTCGGACTTTCAACCCCACCTCCATAACCTCCGTAAGCTCCACAACCTCTGAGCTCCATGGATCATCTTCGGCACTTTCACCACTTGTAATGTATCTCTCACGTTTTCCCCTCATCCCTATTTGGACTGCTGCTTCTTCCCATTCTAGCCAGTTAGTCATCATCCCCACTTCCCCTCATCCTCCTGCCCCTCTGGGCTTTGCCCTCCTTACCTCCTTTTGGATGTACCACAGGTTCTGTCCTATGACCTTCGGTACCACTCCGCTTCTGTCATCCCTTTGTTCCCATTCGGACGCCTTCGTTCTGATTCGGACCCCCTTTGTTTCCCTGTGCTTTCACCCTCTCCATTATATATATCGGCGCTTGTACATACTTGTTTTAGGCCTTAGTCTAAAATCGACCTGAAATGCCCCCTAGAGACTTCCTGCTCGCCTCCTATGAAATTAAGGACCAAATGGACAAACAGCAATGGCACAGCGCTCCGCTTGAGTCGCTGAGGCCAAGGTCCCTCCTTGCTAAGTCTCCAGTTCCCCTCTGGAGTCGTCCGCCCTTGCCCAGTTCTAACAAACAGCAGCCAAACCTTACCGCCATTGTTGGTGGAGGCTTAGCTCAGCCAAACCTGTATATTTTGGACTCTTTTCACAGATTGTATGTTTGCTGTATGGGTATATGTACATAGCAATTGAAATGGACCAGAGATTTCCCCCCCTCCCGCTAGTTTTGAAGTCTGTGTACTTGAGTGCTGTGAGTGGCCACACAATTGGTAAAGGGCTATTGTGACCTTTAAGGAAATCCACCACAGAAAGAAGATAAACAAGAGTTACCAGAGTTATATTATTCCCGAAAGTCCCCCCCTCCATTGATATATGGACCTGTTCTAACCGCAACACCCCTTTCAGCCCCCTTTCTCTTTCTTCCCTAGCCTTTGGGGAGTGAGTTGGAGTGGTACCTTCCATTTTGTGGAGAGAGTAGCCAATTCCTGCTTGCATTTCTTCTGGAGAGAGTAGCTGATTTCCCACTTGCAATGCATGCCCAATCTGCACCCTGCCAGGCTCTCAGCACTGGGCACTACACCTGGGCCTCCTTGACCCTGGACAAGTCCCTGACAACCTTCCCCCAACTCAAGGCCCCACACACAATATTGTATGCGAGGAACTGCAAGTAACAATTGCAGAAACTTCTACTCCATCTAACCCACATCACTGCTTGTGTGTAAACACCATTTACACATGACTCCTCACAGAACAAGTGAGGAGGAATACCAAAGATATATATAATCTTTGGGTCAAAATCTATTTTCAAAACTTCCTTCTTCTATTTTCCTCCCTTTCTGTCAGGGCACACTGCATGCTGCACCGCACCGCACCGCTCCTCTTCTCCGTTTCCTCCTTTCTCCTTTCTTCTGTTTTCTGTTCCCCTTCTCTATCTTATAAGGATGACCTTCCCTTCTCTCCTACACCTGTAGCACAGACATGTCCAGCGCTGGGCACCCCACACAGGTACCGCAATGCCAGACACACTGCACATCCTTACTTGTACTTCCTCTCTCTGAGCCTAGTCCGGGGCTGATGTGGCACTTCCATGTGACATGTATATAAACTAAGCCTGTCAGAGACCAGGTTGAGATGAGGGAATGTCTCCGTGGTGGAGGGCTTCGGCCTCAGCGACTTATGCCAGGAGCGCTGTGCCAAGTAACCGTCCATGCCCTAACTTACTAACTGGCAACCAGAACTGAAGGGGGGTAAACTCTAGTCGATTTTATTACTGAAGTGTAACCTATGTACAAGTTGAGTATATATATATAGTTACAATGAGGGCAGGTCCGTAAATAGCGGAGCCGAGCCGAGCCGAGCTAATGGGGTTAGACATTAGCCGATTGAATATTACCGACGAGTCGGGTTATGGGGTTAACGGAAAGGCAGGCAATAACCCAGAAACAGAAAGGAGGG